TTGGAAATTTCCATGTGGAACCGGCTTCGTGAACATATCAGCAGGAATGTCGATAGTTCCAACTCTTTTCACCTTAATCCTCTTATGTGTTCTCAAGAAATGATACCTCAAATCAATGTACTTAGTCCTCTCAAGAAGGTCTTGATCCTTGGCCAAACATATTGCACTCAAACTGTTACAATAAACCACTTCTTGGTCATGATGTAGACCCAAATCACTAACCAGCCCCTTCAACCACATTCCCTCACTGACAGCTTCTGTCAATACCATGTATTCTGCCTTAGTATTAGACAAAGTAATCGTAGGCTGCAAAGTCACCTTCCAGCCACAGAACCTTCAATAGTGAATACATAACCAATCACGGATCTCCTCATGTCAACATCTCTAGCATAATCATAATCTGAATAACTAGCCACTAAGCACTTTGTATCACTTCCAAAGTTGATTCCAACATCAGACGTATCTTTCAAGTAATAGAAAATCCTCTTCACAACTTTCCAATATTATTTTCCAGGTTGCACCATAAACTTGCTGACAACACTAACATCATGTGAAAGATCAAGTCTAGTGCAAACGTAAGGTACATCAAAGTACCAAGTGCACTACAATATGAGACTCGAGACATATACTCGTTCATGAACTGAGGATAGATGGATATTTGAAGCACTAGGAGTATTTAAGGGCTTTGCTGATGACATGCCAAACCTGGACATTAACTTCTTGATATATATTTTATGTAACAAAAAAAACTTCTTTTAATATTTTCCCTGTAAATCTGCATACCCAAAATCTTTTGAGTATCTTCCAAATCCTTCATCTCAAACTCGACACTGAGAAGATCCTTCACCTTCTGGACAACAGACTTGGACTTTGCAGTAATGAGCATATCATCTACAAACGGAACTAGATAAATGATCATACCATCTGCGGCCTTTTTGTGATATACACAACAATTATACATATTTCTGTTGTAGTTTAGCTCAATCATGTAACTATCAAACCTCGTGTACCACGTCCTTGGAGATTGCTTTAGTTCATACTAGGACTTCTTCAACTTACAAACATATTCTTCTTTTTCTATGACCTGGAATCCATTTGTTTGAGTCTCATAAATCTCTTCTTCTAGCCTCCATGTAGAAAAGTTGTTTTCACTTTCAGTTGCTGTCTTGCTGAAGCTCTAAGTCCTAATGTGCAAATATTGCTAATATCACCCTGATTGAAATATGTCTGACTACTGGTGAGAAGATCTCATCGCAATCAACACAGTCTTTCTATGTGAAGTCTCTTGCAACTAGCGAGACCCTGTGACTTCCAGTCTACAACAGATAATTCAATTCAAGTCATATCAACACGCCTGACACAAGGTAGGAATAAATCTTGCAAGAATCAAATAGCTCATATGTTGCCAATATCGATCAAAGCAAGTCTAATGCCCTGTTCACTTCCCATTTTATTTTCTGTTTTTTGTTGTGAAAATAGAAATCAAGAAACAAATAGCAAAAAACATGTTCACTTCTGATTTCTATTTTCGTTGGGAAAACAAGAATGCCATAAATGAGGTAGTTGGCGAAAAACAATAAAAAGACGTTTTGGGGAAACTATGACACGGATTTCTCCCCGTTGCCTGGCGGAAAATTGTCACTGTGCACTTATGAGCCCCCCTGTTCGAATCCTGCCAGCTATTTCTTTTTTCCCTTTCTTGTTTTAGCAGCCTGGGAGGCTTCCCCAATTCTTGGACGATAGTATATGCTTGGGAGGCTTCCCACAATCCTATTTTTTCGCTTTTTTTTTTTAATTTGCTTGGCGGTTCTGGCTTAGCATTTTCCCATCAAATAGTAATTTACCATGAGTAAATTTTTTAATCCAAACTTTGTTTTTTCTATGTATACCCACCGAAATTGTTTACCCATATATGTTTACAAAATTTCATTTTTCTACATTGTTTAACCTCAATTATAAAATATATGAATTTAAATTACATAAAGATTAAAAACATTATGTTATTTTAAATGTGTTTATAATAATAGGATTTTGTGTTTACTCACTATCATATAAAAAATTAACTACTACATTGTTTGTACATGTATTGTGTTTATTAGTGGTTAAACTATTGATTCGTGTTAAAATATATAATCATGACCAGAGTTATATGATACTCGAGTTGTGGGATGGCTTTTAAGTTGGACTTATTTGAATTTTTATGTTGTACTAGTACTTAATTAATATAAGATGTTGTACTTAGCTTGTATTGTGTTTATTTGTAGTTTAAAAACTATTTAATTCGAATTATAATCATGGCTAGTTTTGTATGGTACTCAATGAACAAAATTGTGGTATTCAAGAATCAGAAAACAATATGAAGCAACTAAACATGTTTTCATTTTCAGAATTCAGTTTTAGAACTCACCAAAATTCTCAGCTAAACAAGTTTTTTTCAGATTTTGTTTTCCAGGAAATGCCAGCTTCGTTTTCATTTCAATTTTGTTTTCTGTTGTGACAGCTAACAGAAATGAAATGGCAACTTAACGGCCCATAAGGAAACTCGGACGAGCTTGCCTATGCAATGCCTCTTTCTCTTGCCTTCCTTATCCAACAGTAGTTTAACTTTCTTTATTTTTGTTTACTTTTGTTAAAATCAAGGAGAACCTAAACACTGGAGACACCTCAACCTCCACATTTGTTTTAAAGTTTCAAAGACAAGTCCCTTGCGATCTGAATAAGTGATCATGAGAGGCCATAAGGGATTACGATTCTAGTTACCAACTAGGTAAACTTGTGTATATTCTACGACGAATCAAATTTTGACTCCATTTGCAGGGACTCTCGCGAACGTTGGAAAGGAAGTAAGGTACTTGTTCTTTTCCTCTTTCTTTTTATATTTGTATCAAGTCTTTGTTTTAGTTTTTGGTTAAAAGTGTTTTAATTTTGTTTTGTGTTTAGAGTCTTGTGCTTTTGTGTAGAGTCTTTTGTTTAAATCGTACTTGTGTTTCTTTTTTTGTTTATAATCATATTCTTTCTCTATTTTTTTTTTTTACTCAATGATTTATTGTCGGGTCCAGGTTTGAATATCGTGAATTTGCGCCCATAATTTCATATGCCCCATGCCTATACAAGAAGAAATCTAACATATTCTAAGGGGGCGAATTTTAGATCAGTTTTTTCAGCACTAGAGAGAAGAAGGTAAGGGTTTGAGTTATGTAAAGGGAGAGAAGGAAGCTAGAAGAATAGGAAAAATTTCCACTTCTTGATTGGATATTCTTAGAGCTCAGCAATACTTGAAGCCTCCATCAAAATGATTTATTCCTTTCCTCTTCTTATATATCTTTTCTCATCGACTATGGCTTAAAACTCTTGTACTTGAGGTAAGAAGAATCCTAACTCAATGTAGTGATTCATAGGAGATGATGTCTATGAACCGTAGTTTGGATTATGACTATTTGATGTTGCGTTATTTCAATCAATTGTCTTTAATTGTGTGATACTTGTTTGTTCTTCACTCGTGTCCATCTTGTTGGGCCAAGATTAGAACACATATGAAATAATATAAATGTGTAATTGCATGCCCATTGAGTTACATGTTTATTTGCTCATTAGGTGAGTACCCATTGATCCAATTTCTTGGTTAGGAGTATAGCTAGGAGCATGCCCAGTGAATAGTTATTAATATAGAGATTTTGCATAATAAAAAAAATTAAGGGATTACAAGGACGAGTCATCAACGTAGCAATATATTTTTCTCTCGAGAATACGATCTTGAAAGTCGTCATTATACTACTTTGCCAATCTAGAGTATAGATGACATATATTGGAGTAGTTAGTGTTTTGACAAACCTATCATAATTCCTGAGGAGTTCTACGGTACCCAGGGTGAAATTCGGGGTACCGCATACCTTGAGTAAGAAAACGCTATCTTGAACTTGAATTGACTGATCTTTCGGACTTGATACTATACTCTTACCCTTAAAGATCAAAATCTAAGTCTTAATTCTCTAAATCTTATACCCCAAGATCAATTTAATTAGAAACAATAATCGACGATTATGATTCGTCAAATATAGATAAAAAAAATCAATGCACCATCTTAGGGTTTATAGTTTATGATTTAGATAATTATGACCTAGAGTTCACTCATTAAAGGTAAGGGTATAGTATCATGCCCAAAAATCCTGTTAATTCGAGGTCTAGATAGCGTTTTCATACTCAAGGTATGAGGTAACCCGGATTTCATCCGAGTACCGTTGAAGCACCCATAATTCCCTGCTGTAACACCACCATTAGTGAAGGCTAAAAAAGGATTGAACCGGTCATCTACAAATTCACTCCAAACCAACACCGATCCCTAAGAAGCCCAACTACAGGACCAAATATTTGGCATGTGCCTGAAATTGCTGCTACAACCTCAACCTTTTGATGATCAGGTCTATGTAGAACAGTAAACAACTCCCGATACTTTTTGGCCCAACATCTACTGTTTTCTCCAATGAATAAAAGAAACTATGGTCAAGGTTGAGAATTTAGAATCTTGCCTCGTTACGCTCTCAACCAGCAGTGAAGGCAATAGATCACATCAGATGCCTCTGTCATCGGTGGCAATTGAAGAAACAACCACTGCTAGATATATCGTTGGAGAGGAAATTAGGGTTGGAGGGAGAACCATTGGTGGAGATGAACAGAAGGATTGATTTCCTCTGACCAGAAGAAGATGCCAATTCTTTCTATCTGACTCATGACAAGCAACAAGTGAGCTACCATTGGTTGATGATCGTTGGTCGATCATTGAAAGAGGCGGAGGCACCATCATGGTTGCTGGAAAAAGCTCTAATACCAAGCTGTTACAGCTGGCCTTAGGCATGGATCAATCGGACACTGGATTGAGAAGAAAAGAGAGGTAAACTGGAGAAGAAGAGAATCAAGAAGGAATACAAGAACAGTGAAGGAAGTGCAGAGAAACACAACTTGGTGGAAGACCTTAAAGCCAGAACCAAGTAGTTCAAACTTATTGTCAGTTCTAAAATCATTGGATATGGCAGTGAGATAAGAGTATGACAACATGACCATGTTGAGCACGAAACAGTGCCCACATGGCCTCTGGACTGTAAGTCTGTATTATGACGTCGCAGTTCTTCAAACAGAATGTTGAGAAATCAGATGATGCAGCAGCAGTGTCAATGTACTACTACAAATGGCCCAACAAAAGGCATGCATTAATCACCTTCTTCCTGGGAGGTTAGTGCACAGTCAAAATGGGCTTTCATTGTATACTCTTGATACAATGAATTCTTAATAAGCGACTCATATAATGAGCATGAAGGGTAAAAGACATCAAATCTCAGGAGCAACCATAAACTTCCCCTCCCTGTGTCCGCCATTGAGCATAGTCCTATTTTCATTGACGAACTGATAATACTTTTCCTCTCCATAAAGTCGCCTGCAATGAAGCAAATGCAAAATATATGAACTCAAGTTGCAATGTGTAAGGCCATGTTCTATCGATTTAGTGCTACTCCAGTTCTGAGCCCTTTATGTAGCAGGAGGATTACATCCTATTCTCATCGAGAAATTGAGAAGAACTATTGTGAAGAGAACTATTGTCCTTTCTTAGTACAATCAGAAGTCACCACAGCATCAGGTAAATCCATCATTATAAGAATTTTCTCTCGTAGTCAAGCCACTGCTCATGACAGGATACCATTTTTCAACCTTATTTGTGTGTTCCGAATAAAGATACTTTCATGGTTGAAACTTAAAAAAGAACGCAAATATCTTATCAGTAGATTAAAGAAAGAAAGAAAGAAAGAAAGAAAAAATAAGCAGCAAGAACGACGGGTTAGTGGGAACAGTCACAAAAACAGATGCATAAACAGACTGCATTGAAACTCAATGTCTGTTTTAAAAAAATCCATAGCCAGTTGCACCTTTTTCAATCTTCAAAAACACCCTAAATGACTTACCAAATTATCAGTTAAGGACAATGCCAATATCACCAACAGTTAACACCCATGTGTAATATGAACAAGGAGACTCTTCTAAGCTGGAAAATATAGAACGGTCCCAAGTAAAACTCACGCTATATCTGCCAATGTTTCTGATTTTATCACATCTTTTCCTTCAGGGAGTTCAAGGCAAGAGTAATGCATTATCATTTCCTTCAAAGTGTGCTTTGTGCTTTTCACGTCATTGTCCCATAGGATACTCTGCAAGAAATAGGTGTTAAAAATTGTTCCCTGCGAAATAGCATTGTGGTTGCATTGCAGGATAGATACCGCATAAAGACATTGACTATACCTACTTTTCGAACATACTGTCTTTTAACATCTTCCCAATCCAATTTCCCCACAGGCGAGAAAATTGAGGCATTCCATAGAGCTCCTCTTGCCGCCATTACCGATGTGGCACCTTGAAGCAAATCAAGGTAACTTGAGATTTAATTTGGTATAAAGGCAGAGGTTATAGAGAACCTTAGGGAAACAATCACAGAAGATTCTATCCTCCAAAATCCTGAACTACTGATCTATGTATCATACTTTTCGGAACCATTAACTATATATAACTGCAAATTTCTAGGCTACAGTTAAGCACTAAATCTTATTCAGCAAAATATGAAGATAGGTACGAACCATAGCTGAAAGACCAACAAGCACTAGGTTATACAAACACAAGCATCGCCTGGTAGCTGACAAAATAAGAGTGGGACTTGCTTATCTTCAGGGCATATGATAGATACCTGTTGCAACTTTGATACGCTCAAAATCACCATACTCAAAGACATCACCATTTGCTATGACTGGTATAGATAATGCAGCTACAATGTCTGCAATCTCATTCCACTTAGCAGGATCCCTTGGTCTATCTGCAACTTTTCTGCAGTTTAATCAATATGAATACATATGAATGACCAGGAAATTTCACGGGATTGTAATAGTATTGTGATTCAACTCCTTACTGCCTAAGCATGTGTGCCAATAATTTGCTAAATTTTCAAAAGATTAGTTGCATCTTATCGTCATTCACACTTATGTGTGCCAACACTTTTGATACTTTCAAAGGCATGCATCCAAGTGATTCATCATAAAGACATTCCATGGTATATGAAAAGTACAAGATCCATACAATCATGGATCACCAGAGCTCATTTACTTGTTAAATCATAAAGTAACCTAGTTTTCTATTCCCGAAGACGTGAGAAAGGAGCAGGGCGTATTTAATTTCATAAACCTTGAGAGTGACATCTTCTTGGATATAAGAATGATCATCTTCCAGAAATAGAAACAGAAATAAAAGATTTAAAGCACAAAGAAATTTCAGCATATGATCACCTTCCATGAACAGCAACAGCAGAAACGCCAGTTTTTTCAATTCGCCTGGCTAGTTCAACCGTATCCTGAGGGCATTTCAGCAGTCTGATTTTACACGTGACTGGAATGTCCAAGTTTCTCCTTAGTGTTGTCAAAATCTGTACCAACGTTAAGATGATAAAGCTCTTCCTATTGACACCAATGAAATTCAAAAGTAGTAATCTCGTCAGCATACATCAGCAATGAGCTCAGGCTTTCTAAGCAGGGCAGCACCCATGCCACCACTTATGGAAAATGACCTGGGGCAACCCATATTGACATCAATTGCAGCAACATCTTTACATCTGCAAAAAAAAAAAAAATAAGTTTTTTATCAGGCCTCAGGTTTTGTAAGTTATTTGCTTAAATAAAGATGCCAATACGAATTTCCATTGGCCAAAAAAAGTTGCCTGAGATGAAGAAAAATATGAATTTAAAACAGATTCACTGCGCTCTTTCCAATGCTATATACTTGAATGATTTTGAGTTACTCAACTAGCCCTTACTACAAATTTTTCCATTAACAAACAGGAGAACTCACACTAGTTGAGCAGCATTCAAAGCCCTGACTGCATCTGAGGTCCCAACTTGGAAAACCACTTGGTTTCTCTCTTGAAGGCAGGTTCTGAAAACAACTGTTTCTGTTCCCTTCTCGACAAAATCAGTACATCCAATGTTTTCTGGAAAGGGAAATGTCGTTAGTAATCTAAACTTCTTTTTACAACAATTCAGTAGACAGGCAGTAGAAACTAGAAAGCACATCTATCTTAAATATATCAACGCACAAAAAAAAAAAGGCTTGATGAAATTTGGATGAGAATGGTTACAGAACTAATCTTTTTACCCATCAATCAAGGCCCGTAGACAAATAAATTTCATCGCAATTTTCACAAATCCATATAAATTTTCATCATCCTTGATCAAAGATAGATGACCTCACCCACCGGGTAACAAAATTACCTAAGCACCCGCATTCCATATTAAACTTAAGCTAATGGGCACAAATCAGTTATCCCTTATCAAGACTCACTAACAGTAGTTTTCATAAAGAAAAAAAATGATTTGTCAGATTCACCACCCAGTTCTAGTTAATATCCGAGTAATGGTTTGAGTATCAGTAGCACACAAACACCAATTATGCATAGCAAGATCATGGGATTACATGTGAGCTTCCTCTTCATCGTGTTCTTCCTTTCACCACTGTAAACAGGAGTTGTTATTTAGCTTTCTAGAGCGTTATCTAACTCAAACGGCACAAGTCATTACGGTGGCAGCCAAGCTGTAAACATTGACATTTCAGCATGATATATGATGTACGAGGTCATTCAGTTCAGATGGAATGGAGACTATGAAAAATAAAAATGTTGTTACTTTTCATCCCAAATCACTGTATTCTAACCTAATTAGTTGCAGAAGCAAAACCGTGACAGTAGTCTCTAGTATTGATACAAGGATTACCGTTCTTAAGCCGTGCTTCATTTAACAGTTTGAAGATCAATGATCACCTCCTTGAATTGGATTTTTTTGCATCATATGAGTTGGTAACCTAAAAAGCATTGTCCCCTTAAAAGTAAATACAAATCTAAATTCAATCAGGATAAAGAAACCAACAACAATTTAGATACTGAAAACTCATTAACTCTAGAAGCAGCATACAAATTACATTCTCAGAGAACCATTTTCCAGTGGCACAATAAGCAAATCGAGAAAGCAGAAATTCAGCGCCTCTAGCATTAAAAAGAAAAACAAGGCAAATGGGGGAGGAATAGAAGATAACCATTAACTCTGCGCTCGCACTTGACCATCTTATGATCGATAATCTCTTCCCCATAGGTGATATCTGCTCCGTATTCAGCCGCCAACAGCCTCAACGGTAACGTCCCCTGGAACAGAAACATCAACAACGGCAGTAGTCGCCGGTGGAAACGGATTAGAAGGTATGAAGCAACAAGGGAGGCAGAGAGGCGCGTTCGGTTGTAGAGAAAAAAGAAGTTAGGGGGACTAAAGCAGAGCTGGTTGGAGGTTGATTGACTCACAACTCGAACCATGGGAGCAAGGACAAGCTTGTTTCGGTATTCCATCTTTCCGCGCTGCTTAGAGCGAAGTGGAAGATCAGGGCCGAAAAGTGACTTTGATAGACACCGAAGAAACGGGACTGCAGCACCCTGGACTCGTGGACATTGGAAACTGGTGTCGTATTGTCTGAGAGTTTTCTCGGTAGCTGTTTTCCGGTGAGAAGTAGTTGAATTGAGATGGATTGCACCTTTGACTTCTATGGACAATGATTTCTAAGACGGCTCAAACCTCTTTAAATAAAGTTCGAACGAGGGTGTTTGATTGATGGTTTTTGGGTACGAGATCTAAACTAAATTACTTCTACTCCTATGGAGGTTCGGCGAGAGCTCGAAACTACGAACTACATCTATGGCTACATGATAGAGAAAAGAAAAGGGATAAACTTGACATGTGTTGGTTTTGGAACCTTTGTCTCTATCGACCCCTCCTCTTATTTATAGCCCCGAGGAGGTAACCGCCATAGAAAACCGCTTGTTGGATAACTGCTAGTCTGCTACTAAGAACCGCTCCCCCTTCTTCGGTAGAAAACCGCCTCTGGGATAAATCCCAAAAAGAACCGCTCCCTGCTTCCTCGGAGTGGTGGTTACTCCTTCAACCACCTAGGGGCCTCTCTTGTAACCGCCGTAGGTCTTGGAGTGTAGCTTGCCTCGCCTGGTCTTGTTCTGAATCTTGTGTCATGCTAGTCTTTTGATAAGCATGTGGTGTCTCACAAAGGGGGTCGTGGTCTTCTTGCCTCGCGGCCATGGACTTCTTACTCATGTCCATGGCCTTCTTGTCTTACGGCCATGAACTTCGTACTCATGTCCATGGCCCCTCTCATGAGGCGGCATGGACCTCTCTTGTGACACGACATGACCTTCTTGATCTCTAGAGGGACATGACCCTCCTCGTTAAAGCGACAAGTCCTCTCCACACTTAGAATATCTTTGTCTTCATTCAAGTGTGATTCGCTGCCTTGCGTCCATGGCCCCTTTCGTGACACGGCCATGGATCTCTCAATCATGCACATGGCTCTTCTCTTGAGGTGGCATGCTTTCTCATACTTAGCATTTTTCAATCATACCTAGGGCCTCTTGTCTCGCGTCCATGCCCCTTCTCGTGAGGCGGCATGGCCTTCTCAGACTTAGTATATTTTGGATCATGAGGCGACATGGCTTCCTCATTCGCGGCCATGGACTTCTCAGTCATGTATGTGACCCTTCTCGTGACACAACATGGCCCTCTCATACTTAGTATCTTTTCTTGCGTCCATGCCCCTTCTCGTGAAGCGGCATGGACCTCTCGTTGAAGTGGCACATGCTTCTCCTTGAAGCGGCATGTACCTCTTCCAGACTTAGTTTATTTTTCAGTCATTCAGTCTTGATCTTGGGGCGGCATGTGCTCCTCGATTTCTAGATGGACATGGCCCTCTTCATGAGGCGGCACATGCTTCTAGATTTTAGATGGACATGGCCCACTTCGCTGAGGCGGCATGTCACTCTCCAGACTTAGTGGCTTGGCTTAAAATCAATATCCATAAGGCCCAACTTAAACAATCTTAATTGTTATAATGGGTGTGGCCTTATAAACTCATTAATTATCTTGTAACTCAACAATGTGGTAGAAGACAAATTTTATGGTGTAAACAAATGCCCCCCAACTATTTAGTGCATAAGGATTATGGACTAAGTAGTTGAGACCAACTTGACCACTTATATCCCTTCTCTAACTGGTCCTCGAGTAACAAGGCTTGTCTCTACTCACCCATGACCACAAGTTCAATAAAACTTGAAAATTTTGCCTCTAAAACAACACCATGGTACCTACGTCTTTCAAGTGGCTAGCTATGCCGCCTATGTTGTCTTCATTCATGTGTAGCAAACGAGAAACCCTTGCCTTGTTGGCTTCTCATCAACAATTCAGTGAGGCCCCTACACTTTTCTTATTTTACATGCTCAAGCTGGCTATCACTCGTCTCCAACCCACGATGCCCTTAGGTCGTGGCCAACATCCAAACTGGTGGCCACTTAGGACAAGACGACATAGCATGGCAAGACGCAATCTACGACTCGGTATGCCAAGCCATCACTACGACTTGGTGGTAAGATCTTCACATCAAAGTCTAATAACTTCGACTCAAAATTTCCACTTTGTTATTTTCTATCTATTTTTTCTTATATAGCCATGATTGGCTTTTATTTATTAATTAATATATATGATATTTATTTATTTAACATAACAAGGAGTGACAAACGTCGCTGCTCTCCATCGCCTTTGGCAACAACTAAGGCGCCAAAGGTGTACACCCACTGCCAAATTCGTGGATTAAAGCAGGCAAGCCATCGATAGATCACATGAATCTTTTTCTCTATGGGAGATGACTTTTCATACATTAATTTTGAATTTTCTAACTTACCACTGGGTGGTATATGGTATGTATGTCTTGCCTTGGTGGCCTTACATGGGGTCCCATGCTCCTGTGCTTTGGCCACCTTACTTGACATGTCAAGACAACCATAAGTTTTCCTCTGCCTTGGATGCCTCTCGTTTGAGACATGCTTACTCTCCTCATGTTGTGGGAGACGATGTCCAGTCTTGACAAGTCGGCAACCACCCATGTGGCCCACTTGACTTCGTGTTTCAACATCCAAACCTTGTTGGCCCCTACACTTAGCACACATCCATCCTTGGTTCTTTGTGAGGTCATGTTTGGTTTGTGCGTATGGTGCTGACACGCTAAAACACAACACCTAACAATGGCCAAGTGTAACCAATGAAAGGGACTGCAGTATAGTGGCACAAGTAATAAATATCGAATCCACGGGTCTCTAGAGTTACTATTACTCAGCTTCAGTTCATTATCTAGCAAACTAGATTAAGGATTGATTTATAAATGACTCTACTGACTACTCTACTAATTACAAGTTGGGAACTCACTTAGGTATGATTCCCCCTAGTTCCTCAATTAGGTCCAAGTTGCAATTACCTTTGGTTGATCTACTGTTGATTAAACTGCGGAAGATCCGAAATTAGCTTGGAATCTCTTAAACTGACCAAGCCCTCTCAGACAGAATACTCGGCAGGCGACTAGCCTTCACCGGGATAAACTGCTAAGGCGATTCACACAGATCTCCACTACTGGAATGAATTCCAGTACAAAGCAGTGAATTGATTGACTCTCGCACAACCAATTCACCACTATCAATCAAGGAAGCTCTCTTAACCTAATCAGATTCTATCTATCATAGGTTAAAGCAGAAATCAAGAGAATTTGATCAAGATTCAATTGACTCAATAAATCATGCCTCAATCGATTATAATCAAACAATATAGCATCCAAAACTTCATACAAGAAAGATCCTAACACATGGAACTAGGGTTCCTCAAAACCTAAGTGAAGGGAAGTTACTCCATAGAGAAGAGAGAGACTGCAGAAATCTGATCTAGATCTTCAATCTCCATCTCCAAGCTTGATTCCCGAGCTCCAATGGCGAAGAAATCCTCCAAAATAGCTCAAAGAATGTTCCCAAGTCGCTCTCTCTCTCTAGGGTTCGTCCCTTGGGTGTTTGGGATCCAAAACCCAGCTCTCCCCTTTCGCTGAAAATCGGGTTTTAAACAGCAATTCCCGACTCACACGGCCAGGCCACACGGCCGTGTGGCTTTCCCAGCTGCCCGTGTGAAGGCTCGGTGATTTCCACACGGCCACGACTCACACGGCCGTGTGGGGTTCCAGGATGCCCGTGTGGCTTACCCAGCCTCTGTTTAACGCTTCATTTCTCCCTCGTCCGGACTCCGAATCAGTCGCCGTTTGATCCCAGATGCTCGTAGTCTCGTCCTATTTCTTTTCATGACAAGCTTGCATGATTCTTTGTCCATGAAGTGAGGTAGAAATCCATTCTTCTTCAGGTCATGCCCGAGTTTCTTCTCCCAAATCATCAATTGATCTCTGATTGACTTGAAACTTGCGCCTATGCTTCACTTTATGTGCTAGGACCTGAAATGTGACAAAGGAACACAACCTAGCGTAAAATAGCCCAAAGACGCGATAATTCAAGCTCAAACAATCAAGAAACAAAGGGGAAAACATGTCCAAATACCGAGTCATCAAATCCCCCCACACTTAACTGTTTGCTTGTCCCCAAGCAAACCTAACTCAAACCAATGCAGCTCTCCAGAGCTCTATAGCAACATACAACCCCGATCGTCGATAGAGGATTTCCTAGATCATATAGCAGCTTACGAGGTCAACTGGTCTTCTAAGACGTTCCCTATCTCTCTCAATGCGAGTACTAGACTCAAGCCAGGATCATGAGAAAAAGTAGAAGTAAGACAGTCAGTTCATGGATAAAGGGACTCACACCATTCACAACCAAGGACTCGTTGTACCGGGGTGCTCTTTCACTTCATTTCACCGTTGAAAACCCTTTTTCTCACTTTCATTTACATTTTTTTTTCTTTCATTTGGTGGGGTTCCAACTGCAGTCTTTTGCACGGTCGACCCTTTTTATTCGAGCAAGAGCAATTTCTGTACATCTGGCGCTCGCCAGAGTACTTCTTTTAACTCCTTTTCCTCAACTCGTGTGGAGGGTCAATGAAATTAAGGGGGGTCGGAAGCTCTATCCGTGCCCTTAAAAACACATCCTCGAGTAGGCAAACCGCTCAACGGGTGGAAGTTTTACTTGTACTAGAGACAGCTTAGCTTCACCTTGTAGGAGTACCCCACTAAGGATCACTAAAATCTCTTCCAAAACCCGATTTTGTGCAATGAACGGTGCCACACACGTTGGGCTTTCCCCATGTTTAAGATTTTAATGATTTCGACATGGAGGACCAACTGCTTCCCATTTTCCACATGAGCACCCTGTTCGATACACGAGTCCATAACACAATCCAAACAGAGTCACCATTACCGCATGAATTCGACGGTCTTAGCTCCACTAATTCACAAAATCAACTGGCGCAGCAGAGAGCTAGATAGGAAAAATCTTATACTTCAACATCCTCCATAGTGCTACACTACCTCCCTAGGTTGCACATTACTATAGAGACTGTCAATTCAAAGCATACTGAGTAGGCAATTTGCAAGGAAACACGTACTTGGAGCCCTCAAATTTAAAAATTTGGACAGTGGACTAGGCTCCAAGCACACAAACAGCCAAACATTCACCCGCATACATAATCGAACACCCCCCCACACTTAAGCACGA